TAAAAGGGCAGAACACACACACATAAAAATTAACATTTGTGATTAAAGCACAGTTAATATGTCCATCCTAAACAAGATGGCATGAAAGCTAAGTAGTATAACAAAACACTTACATAACTATCAGTAAAATGATTTTTCATGTCATCCCCAAGCAACATCCTTAAGCCCCCAAGCATTGTATGGAACGAAACCCTGCTAAAACCGCACGGTCCTGTCCACAGACTATCCCTCCTGCATCCCTGTCCAGAGGCAAAATGTATAATCTGTTAGTAACACAGCGAAAGTATTATGATCCTTCATTATTAAATATGATGTTACCTTCATTATTAAAACATTAACATCCTCAAGGTGTCCACAGTGACATGAGCCTCACACATAGCGGCAATCATGCCCATCAATCAGGCCACGAGAGCCGAACTATGTTCACAAAAATAGAAAACATGTAGTGGAGTCTCGAGACCATCACAAAAATCACACTTGTCACTATCCCTAATACCCAACATGTGGAGTCGGGCATTAGTAGGGAGGTACTCGTGCAAAGACCTGTACACCAGTTCCCGTTGGTGCGGCTCAATATACTTAACATTTACATTCCTCCACACCTCGTCCCAGATAAAGAGAGGGAACGCCACCTCCATCCTAGGCAACGCACCGGAAAGCAGAAACTCATACACCCTTTTGCTCGGTAAGAGCACAGAATCCCTAATGTAGCAAATACTTTGCAAAACGTCAATCACACAAGAGTAATACGGAGGCGTCACAAAGGCAAGATCACTGCATGCATGCATACATGTTCAGCAAATAACCTGCATGCAGTTTAAAATAATAATGCCCCAAAATGCTCACATCATCCCAAGTCAACAGCTCTCGCATAGCTATCACACCCAAAATAGCCATCGACGTAGAAAACACATTCTGGACGCCTTTTGGATATCCTTTCCTCCTACTGAGACATAACGTCGACGGCCTGATAGGCTGGTACCTGCCTCACAATATATATTGGGAAATCACCTTATCAATTTCCGTCATTACCCTTTTACTGAGCGGCAAGCAGAGAGCCACAAACCAAACTTTCGAGAGCACCATACAATTCACTACAACTGCCTCTTGGTACAGGATCAACCATCTCGCTGACAGGAGTGAAGTCGCTACACCAACACTACACAACATACCTATCCAGTTTCTCCTCATCGTCAACTCATAGGATTGAAACCATGTCACCCCAAGTGTCTTAATACACTCAACCGCTTGACGGACCATCCCAGGTGGACTTTGAAGCTCATTGACCATGCCTCATCATACATGTCTTCTCCCTATTAACCACGGCACCTGTAGCCATTTCAAACATCACAAACCCATCCTATACAGTCAACACAGAAGTCTCATCCGATGCAAATACTGTAGTGTCATCAGCATAACCAATAACCAGAAGAAGCATAAAATTCGGCAACGACGTCAAAACTTAAAAAAACACTACTCTTCACCGCTAAAATACAGGAACTCCCGACTCCGGGTAATCCTCCTGAAAGGTAGATTACCTGATGGTGGAGATGGTGTTGGTGAACATCTTATGAGTTGCTGTAGCCGACGTTTGTGGAGTGCAGATTATCTCCGGTCACCGGGCGGTGATCAAGTTCAGTTTTTCGGCTGTGTTCCGGGATTTTGTCGACCGGTATGCTGGGCACTCCTGGTTACCTGGGGATGTTGAGTCCGTGACTATCTCGGGCCGTAGCGGCTTGTCCACATATGTGGCTGTTCATGGAGCGCCGTTCGAGTTTCTAGAGGATCTGATGTGGCGATACTTCAGCTGGTTTGAGCGTGTTTTGCACGTCTGAATGAACGCCGTCTCCTCTGGAAGGTTGCAAGGCGAACGGGACCCAGACTTTGACCATGTGCCTTAATACTCCGATCCCGTCCTCTATCATGCTCCTCAGTTTCTACTTCCGAATCTTCTACGCTGGCCAACCTCGATCGTGCTTCTGATGAGGTTTGTCGGGGTACCAGGCTGCAGCCTGCCATGCTGACGGTGTGGGCCATGTAAGTCCAAGTCCTCTTGGACTTACTTGGCCAAGTCCTCTTCCGGGAGGACTTCCCCATTTCTGGAGATCCCAGTGGTCTCTGAGTGTGCTCCCATGGATGGTGTGCCTGTGTTTTCAAATGATGTTAGGTAAGTGTTGGATGCTGGGACGGTGTCTTCTACCCCTGGGGTTGGCTGTGGAGGTGGTGCGTGTGGTCCCTCCTCCACCTCCCACTCCTCCAGCTGCTGTGCCTGTGGTCCCTGTGGCTGTATCGTTGGCGGGATACCTGATGCTGAGGGGTTGTGTAGATTGAGTGTTCCTGTTGCGGTTCACGTGGTGCTACCTGTGTGTGATGCCCCCGGTGGTCAAAGCAACCACAGTGTTGCATGATCGTGTGATGTGGGACCGTGCACAGTCTCCCCGTGGTTCTAAGGGAGCAGCTTTGGTGGAACTCGACAGTTCTGATGAAATGCGGCTGTTCCGAGGCGTACGAGGAGGTCTCATGGTTTGCCTCCCTCCGTTGGTGCCTCTTGGGAGGACGTGGGAGAATTTGAGTCCTCACTATCTTCGGAGGATGATGTTGGCTCTGTGCCTGGGGCGTCTGTAGCGCCGGTTGGTGGTGAGGTGGTTGCGGTAGCGGCTGTCACTGTGGTTGTGGTGATGCCTGGTGTGACGACCGCCTTGCCTCCTCCCAGAAGTCCCCGGTTGCTGGTTCCCCGGGTTAAGGGATTGTCGCCCCTGGTGTGGCTGGTGGTGAGGGTCGGGACTTGGTGCTTGTTCCCAAGAAGAACCCGGTGATGAAGGTCCCTCTGCAGCGGGACTCCGTGTGTTTGGACACCGAGCGGCAGGGCACCGTGTCGCCAGATTTTATGCAAGCTTGTCCTGGGGCCACAGATGGGTCTGCGTCCTAAGCATGAGAAGGATGCTTACTGGGCGGCTCGGATGGCTCTTTTGGGGCAGTTTTTTGGTGGTACTTAATTGTGTTTGTTCTTGCCTTTTATTACCGTATTACTGTTTCGCGTGTTCACATGATTAACTTGTTTTTCCCGCTTGTTTTATCCTATACATATTTTGTTTTGTGAGTCCGGTTCCTTGTGTTCAGGTGATTATGTGCCTGTGTGTGTTCTGTGTTGTTTATGTTTTCTGTTTTGTTATTAAATTTCTGTGTTATTCATGTCCTATTTCTTGTTTTTTCTTGATGTCGAGTTTTGTCGCTCCGGTACCTATTGTTTTATGTTTGTACTTATGCCTTGTTTTACTAATAAAAAAAAGAAACACAGAAGCAGAGTACTCATTATTTCACACCATGCTAGAACTACCAGCAAAAGCACTAAATTATGTAAAGTTGTGTGTAGCAGTTTTGTCGTTTTACCGCTTAGTTTCTTGATTCTGAAATTTTCTTTATATACAAATCTTTCTCTCGCCTTGGTTACCCCCTTACATTTTATCAACTGTGCCTATTCTCAAGCTAAACGAAATTTCTTTCATCCCAAACCTGTTTCCAACACTAGTACCACTGGGCTCTGCCTTCCCTTCATATCTGTACTCCAAAACATCTCACTAATACCCTTCGTTCTCTAGACATAAAGCTCGTGTTTCAACAAACTAACACTCCTCGTTGTAATCTGGTTCACACTGCTCATCCTGCATCTAATGCTACTGGTGTCTACTTTGTTTCGTGTTCGTCTTGTCCTCCCAAATACTTTGGGGAAACTGGCCGTACACTAAATATAATATAATGGGTAAAAGTACACTACACTAAACTTAAGGAACACAAAAGAAGTATTAAGTATGCTGACACAAACAATGCACTCTTCTGTTATGTTAGGGATTCTAATCATCCTATTGATTGGTCTCCTAAAATAATCTTCCCTGCTTCTACTTTTCACTGACGCCGTCTTGCCAATTCGGCTTTGATACCCAACCAACCCAACATGAACCTTAGACTAAGCTTTGTTGCTGGTGACCCTTCCCTTTCACAATATATACTCAAAGGTTCTAAACTTTCTAACAAACGTGACCTAACATGTGCCTACTCATTCTTTTTCTCTTTCTTTTTCTTTTTATTTCTCCTCTTATTCGTACGTTCCCATTCTTATATCCATTATTACCCCCCTTCTTACACCTCTTTATTACACACATCCTATCCGTGCCTTTCACCCTGCTCTCATTTTCCTCTAGGAATTTCCTCCTCATGACCTCTCTCTTACCTCACCTAACGCCCGTGCCTCCCTCGCTCCTCCCAAATATCACAGTAACAAGGTTATCGCAAATAACCGAACTCAATTATGGGCTCACTATAGCCCATGCTACATGGATATTTCGTTCTAAGTAGCTAAATCTAAAAAATCAAGAACCTCGTTCCCATCACAATCGATTTGATAATGGTCCAGGACGGATCGAAACTTCGTCGTCTCATTTTCTGGTGTGTGGTTTAGTCTTGATATCATTCAGCCACGTTACTCATCGTCTGCATATATTAGTATATTTTGGTAGCAGTCTTTCCTGGAGATATATATTATTGAATGTGACCGAAAAGGGTGAGATCATTGATTCTAGCATGACTCTACTCTATTTTTCATGCATTTTTCTTCACTTGAGAAGAAAGCTGAAAAATTAACAATCCAAAGTTCCTATTTACAGTTTTATTTGGCCTGACGCTATGAGTTGCATTTCGTTAACCCTCGTTAATATTGTTAAAGACAGAGTAGGAATGATTACAAATATGCATGATATGTCCCCGAGGATGAGGTGAAGGTGATGCGGTGAATGATCCTGCTTTAGTTGCAGTTTAAGCTCTAATGTTGATTGTATAAAAATACAATTTCCCAAACTGTTTAATTTTAATTTTAATATAAGTTTTATGTAATATTATTCTTTAATATGAGATTTATATAGAAGCTCTGAAAATATACTAAGAACACTATACCTACAGTCTCTCTTAACTGTATTTATGAATTAAATGAAGTCCAACATTTTCAGGAGAAACAGGAGACTGGAAGAACCACTTCTCACCTGGGCTGGAACAACACATGAACCTGTGGATTACAAATAATTCTGCAGACATTACCTTCAAGTGATTTTATGCAATACACTGAGAAACAAACAAAAAACAAACAAAATAAATCCTGTTATAATGTTTCAATTATTCAAGATTTTGTCTATGAGAAAATTTAATAAAATAACACTAAAATGGGTGTATATTTCGAAGCCATAAAATGGAGTGTAGTATTACATAGCTATAATGAAGTAAAGTATTTCAGAGAAACATAATAATGTGTATTATTTCAGAGAAACATAATCGGGTGCAGTATTTTAGAGAAACATAATGGGATGTAGTGGTTCAGGTAGATATAATGGGGTGAAGTATTTCAGAGAGACATAATGGGGTGCAGAATTTCAGAGAGACATAATGGAGGTGCAGTATTTCAGAGAGACATAATGAAGTACAGTATTTCAAAGAAACATAATTGGATGTAGTGTTTCAGAGAAACATAATGGGGTGCAGTGTTTCTGTAACGGGGACCAGTCTTTAACCTCACTTAAACTGACAAAATAGCCTTCAGTACAACTCCTCGAATCTAAAACGTTTGATCGCTTAGATATTAACCGACATGAGGACACTGTACCTTCATGCTACACTGCAAACTACGCCGCCTCCACCTGCTAATTCATACAACCTGCTAATAATTCCCCCAGTTGACAGTGAAGCAGAAAACCGTCAATTTGGCATGATCCCCGAAAGTAGATCCCCAGTTATTCGAAAGGGAGGAATGAGATTACGTTAAGTGTGGTTTACATCAAAGCAAAAAGGGATTATATGAGGTATGAAATAAATGCTTGCAGGATTGCAGAGGGTGCTTAGCCCAAAACATGGGGTTTTGAGCCCAACAAAAGAATATAAAATAATTTGTGGGGAAATTCCACTAAACACCATAAATTCTGAACAAGATGTATTAAAACACAAAGTTTGTCAATAAAGTAAATAAACACTCCCTACCGGAACACTTCCTAAACTGAATATATTCCTAAACTGAGGCAATGGTATTGACTACCAAATAATGTGCATCCTACATTGTACTTAAAACAATCAGACAGATCTTTTACCTTAAATAATACAAGCTCGGCGAGATGGTCTACCTGCTCTACGAATTAACAATTTACGATGGTTATCTTGAAGTTATCTTGAGATGATTTCGGGACTTTTAGTGTCCCCACGGCCCGGTCCTCGACCAGGCCTCCACCCCCAGGAAGCAGCCCGTGACAGCTGACTAACACCCAGGTACCTATTTTACTGCTAGGTAACAGGGGCATAGGGTGAAAGAAACTCTGCCCATTGTTTCTCGCCGGCACCTGGGATCGAACCCAGGACCACAGGATCACAAGTACCGCGTGCTGTCCGCTCGGCCGACAGGCTCCCTATGGTTGGTACATATTTTCCACAAGCTTGGATGTTCCCATCCTAATATTCGTCTGTATTCGCCAACCAAGAGGAGTGGCTTCTTTACTTTAATTTGTTGTTAATTCAACCTAATTACTTATCAACAGACGTTATTAATTCCAATTACTTTAATACAAGAATTTCTCTAATTTGATGAATTCGACACAATAAACATTTGGCACTCCTTTTTTCCACACATAAGCTCTAATCCCTTAAGGGGGATAACCCTTCCTAGCCTTTCAGGTCAACTACCAGCTCCCAGCATATTTTTACAAACGGTGTATCCTACCTTCTAGTGAAAGACAGCTTTAAATATTAGATCTATAGCCTTCTGTATTAACAGTTTTACTGTTACATTTCAGAGAGAAATAATTGGGGGTGTAGTGTTTCAGAGAGACAAAATAGGGTGTAGTGTTTCAGAGACACATAATGGAAAATAGTGTTCCAGAGATACATAATCGAGAAGAGTTTCAGAGAGAGACATAATAGGTTGCAGTGTTTCAGAGAAACATAATGGAATGAAGTGTTTCAAAGAATCATAATTGGGTGTAGTGTTTCAGAGAGGCATCATGGGGTGAAGTGTTTCAGAGACACATAATGGGGTGTATAATGTTTCAGAGATATATAAGAGGGTGTAGTAATTCAGAAGGACATAATGGGATGTAGTGTTTTAGAAAATAAATATATGAAGTGTAGTGTTTCAGAGAAATATAAAATAGTTCAGTTTTTCAGGGAAACATAATGAAGGGGGGTAATGTTTCAGAGAAACATAATGAGGGGGGTAATGTTTCAGAGAAACATAATGAAGGGGGTAATGTTTCAGAGAAACATAATGAGGGGGGTAATGTTTCAGAGAAACATAATGAGGGGGGTAATGTTTCAGAGAAACATAATGAGGGGGGTAATGTTTCAGAGAAACATAATGAGGGGGGTAATGTTTCAGAGAAACATAATGAGGGGGGTAATGTTTCAGAGAAACATAATGAGGGGGGTAATGTTTCAGAGAAACATAATGGGGTGTAGTGTTTCAAAAATACTTTATGGGGTAGAGTGTTTCATGCACCCCATTATGTATTTTATGTATACATGAATATACATGCTTGATGAAACTAGTATATCAGTGACTGTAGTGTATAGTGAAGATGTAAGGTGAGGGGATCAGGGAACTTGGGGAGATGGGGGAGAATGGAAAAAGAAGATGAAATGGGGGGAAGAAGAGGGGCAGAAGGGAGAGTAGAGTAGAGGGAGAAGAGGAAGGAGAGAGAGGAGTAAAGGAGGAGGTGTGGAGATGAGAGGGCATGTTTCAGAGAAACAAATTGGAGTATAGTGTTTCAGAGAAACATGATGGAGTATAGTGTTTCAGAAAGATATAATAGAATGAAGTGTTTCAGAGAAACATAATGAGGTGTAGTGTTTCAGAAAAACATAATTGAGTATAGTGTTTCAGGGAGACATAATGGAGAAAAGTGTTTTGGAAAGACATAATAGGGTGTAGTGTTTCAGAGAAACATAATGATGTAGTGATTCAGAGAAACATAATGGGATGTAGTGTGTCCAAGATAAATAATGTTGTGTAGTGTTTCAGAGAAACATTATGGGGTGTATAGTGTTTTAGAGAGATATCATGGGGTGTAGTGTTTCAGAGAAACATAATGGGGTGTAGTGTTTCAGAGAAACATAATGGGGTGTAGTGTTTCAGAGCGAGGTAATAAGTGGTAGTATAACAGATAAAAAGGTATTGCAGGGCAATGTAATGGTTATCACACCATTGTAATGTAATCGGTAATGTATCGATGTAATGTAATCGGTATTAGAAAGCAATATAATGTGTATTACAAAGCAATATAATGAGTTTTACAGCATAATATAATAGGTATTGCAGGGCACAATGCAAAACAATATAATGTGTGTAGTAATATAATGAGGCATATTACAGAGCAATATAATGGTGTAATGAACTGCATATCAATATATTGCGTATTACAGTGAAATATAATGGGAATTACAGAGCCATATCATGAGGTGTAATGTTTCAAAGCTATATAATTGATAGTGTGTTTAAGAGTATGTTTCGATGCATTTCAGTGGCTCTATAATACCCATTTCATTGCCCTATAATACCCATTACATAGCAATGAAATGGGTATTACTGAGCAATATAATGGGTATTACGGAGTAATATACTAGGAATTACCGATCAATATAATAGGGTGCATTATTAGTGAGCAATATAATAAATATTATAGAGCAATAAAATGGTTATTACAGAGCATTATAATTTTTATTTCAGTAGAAGATAATTGTATGTTGTGTTTCAATGTGATATAATGGATTATGTTATTACAGAGTAATATAATGGGTATTAGATAGCAGTATAATTGTTATTACAATGATATTGCTATCTATTTGTAATTATTATGATTGTTATCATGATAATGAGTATTACAGTGTAATGTAATGGGTAATATAGAGTAATATAATGGGTATGACAGAGCAATAAATTGGGCATTAGAGGAATATAATGGGTATTAGAGACCAATGTAATTGGTATTACAGAACTATATAATTAGTATTACAGAGCAATATAACGGGGTGTAGTCTCTCAGAGCAATATACTGAGTATTGGCAAGCGATGTAATGGGTATTATTATGATATATAATGGGAATTATAGAGCAATATAATAGGCATTCAGAGTAATATAATGCATAACACTGAACAATATAATGGATATTCCAGATTAATGTAATGAGTAATAAATAGAACTATAACAGTCATTACAAAGTAATATAAGGAGTATTTCAAAGCAATAAAATGGAAATTACAGATGAATATAATTGGTATCACAGAGCAAGATATATAGATACCACAGAGCAATATAAGGAATATTACAATATAATATAATGACACTACAGAGCAATATAAAGGGGTGTTCCATTACAGAGCAATATAAAGGGGTGTTCCATTACAGAGCAATATAAAGGGGTGTTCCATTACAGAGCAATATTGAGGTATGTTCCATTACAGAGCAATATAAAGGGGTGTTCCATTACAGAGCAATATAAAGGGGTGTTCCATTACAGAGCAATATAAAGGGGTGTTCCATTACAGAGCAATATAAAGGGGTGTTCCATTACAGAGCAATATAAAGGGGTGCTCCATTACAGAGCAATATAAAGGGGTGTTCCATTACAGAGCAATATTAAGGTGTGTTCCATTACAGAGCAATATAAAGGGGTGTTCCATTACAGAGCAATATAAAGGGGTGTTCCATTACAGAGCAATATTGAGGTATGTTCCATTACAGAGCAATATAAAGGGGTGTTCCATTACAGAGCAATATTGAGGTATGTTCCATTACAGAGCAATATAAAGGGGTGTTCCATTACAGAGCAATATAAAGGGGTGCTCCATTACAGAGCAATATAAAGGGGTGTTCCATTACAGAGCAATATTAAGGTGTGTTCCATTACAGAGCAATATAATGAGTATTACAGAGATATATAATGGGTACTGCATAACTATATAATGGGGTGTACTACTACAGAGCATATATAATTGACTTTAGCACTAAAGAGATTTATAATGAGGCATAGTTTCAAGTGAGACATTTTTAGGAGACCATTTTCGTTTACTTAAAG